CCCTCCCTGCCTGTGTGGGGGCTGTGGGAAAAGAGAGGCACTTTGAGTGGATTCCTTCCCCTCTCCTACTCTTCCTTTCTTTCTCACAGCAGTAGTCTCTTCCCTTAAAGACCTTGGACCCGGAGATCCCAGGGAAGCTCCTCAACTAGCCATTCATCAAGGTGAGAATCGGGCCCCTGTCCTGTGCTCGCCCAAATGAACCACACTGAATTGAGGTAGCTCTTTCAGTCCCCCTTCTCCCACTCCCACCTCCAGTCAGGTGTCAGGAGGTGTGAGGTGACCTCACTGCCTTCCTGTTCTGAGGCTTGCCCTCAGGCAAGAAGAGGCATACACCCTGGGAGCAGGGTCTCTTCTTCTTTGAGCCTCTCAGAGGAACGTGCAGTACCAGAGTCCTTTAGCCTCGGAGCCCACCCTCCCCCCACCCAAATCCTCCCACAGGCGCTTTTTGAGAGCCACCTGAGGAATGGCTGTCAGAGTCTACTCACCCTCTCCCTTTCTGCCCCAGGCCTGTGAGTCTTCATCTCTGTGACCTGCACTGTGTCCTGCCTGTGTTCCCAAGGAATCTCAGCATGGATCCTACTGAGAACAGCCAGACCTTCAACGTCCCTGACAACACTCAGTCCCAAAGGCCTGCAAGGGGCCTGGAGGCTGCCCAGGTCCCCGTAGCTGAGGTGGGGGATGCTGAGGCCACTGTCCCCACCTCAGGGGAAGTGTCTGTTGGAGAAATGCCCAGTTCTCCCCAGAGTGCTGAGGCAGCCTCTTCTCCTCCTGCTGCCCTGGGCTCCAATGCAGGGGGGGCATCTACAGAGGCCTCTAGAAACCAAGCTAGTGAAGTGGCCCTTCCTGAGCCCTCCTTGCAGCAGGAACTCAATAGAAAGATAGTTGATTTGGTTTTCTTCCTGCTCCTCAAGTACAGGAGGGGGCAGGTGACAAGTAGGGCAGAAATTTTGCATGCGGTCATCAGAGAATATGAGGCATACTATTCTGCGATCTTTAGTAAGGCCATTGACTGCATGAGACTGATGTTTGGGCTTGACATAATAGAAAGGAATCCCCTTGTCCACTCCTACTCTCTTGTCCATGCTCTAGGGATCACCTATGATGGGCTGCAGCATGGTTTCCCAGGCATACCAAAGACAGGCCTCTTGATAATCATGCTGTGTATCATCTTCATAGAGGACAATTGTGTCAGCGAGGAGGCCTTGTGGCGCATATTGAATGGTTTGGGGCTGTATGCTGGGAGGGATCATTTCATATACGGGGAGCCCAGGAGACTCATCACTGAGCATTTTGTGCAGGAAAGATACCTGGAGTGCAGACAGGTGCCAGGCAGCGATCCTCCTAGCCATGAGTTCCTATGGGGCCCCAGGGCCCATGCGGAAACCACCAAGATGAAAATCTTGAGGTTTTTTGCCAGCATAATTAGGCGGGATCCCAGATCCTACCCCTACAGTTATGCAGATGCTTTGAGAGATGAGCTGCAGAGGACCTAGACCTGAATCGCCCAGCAGATGATACTACTGTCCTGAGCAGCACCCATTCTAGCGCACTGGCAGTTTCCAGGTCAGGTAGTCAGACATTTAAGGACTTGTACCCTCAGTGGAGTGCTGGTGGAATGACAGCATGAACCGTTTCATTCTTCCTGTTCTCACTGGGTGACTTGGGCTTTCTTGTTATTTCACAATGTTGCTACTGTTACTACAAGGTTCCCTATTGGAGATGTTTTAAATTCATGAATATAGTTTGTAAACTGAACTACTGTTGTTGATCCACGTTAGGAGAATTTTATCATTTTTTTGAACAGTTGAGAATGACATGTCCAATTTGGAAAATGTATTAAGATTCTATAGCATTCTAAGTGGAATTACCCTGGCAATGGGAAGGAACTTGTCATTTTCATGTAAAAACAATAAATTTTAAAAGAATTGCCTTCAAGTTTTAGTCTTCTGTTCTGTTTAGTGGCAGTGAAAGCTATAGTGAGGTGAATGCAATCTTGAGCACCTACTCTGTGAAAGGACCTGTGTTAGCAGCGAGATGTAAGAAAAGTCTTATCCACCCTTTTTCCGTGACAAGGTCAAGTACAACATCAACAGCCCTGCCAGGAAGAAAGTGAGAATTCCCTTTAGATCGCAAATGTAAGTACAGGAAGTCTCCAGAGCACTCCCCTACAGTGAATATTTTCATGTCAGCGGTATAAGGCAAGGCTGTTTCAGGTCTCAGAAATTATTAACCAGGACCAGGCCCTTTGGAAGTGTGAACGAACGACTTATGGCTGAGAAAAGGGAAAACTGCTCTGAGCCTTTGCTGTTTCTGGTGGACTTGGCATGGAGGACTTAGGCTGGGATGTCACTCAGTGGTTGAACACTTGGATAACACATACAACTAGGAGGGTTGTATCCTCATAACCTCAAAACACAAAACCAAAATGTACAGAGAAGAATCATGTGCTGGCACTACAGTTAAAGATGAACACAGCACATGTAGGGCATAGTTTATCCCCACCCTCTGCAAGGGAATCCTGACCCATGTGCTAGAATTATGGGAATGTGAGGCCTAGAACTCCTAGGCAGGGCCTCTTCATCTCTAGTTAGGGAAGAGGGAGCTGCCTACTAGGATAACTTTAAATGCTTGTAATGTGTATTGTTGTTGTGCCTGCATTTTAGGTGTAACACACATGACCCTGGTCCCGCAGAGGACAGTAAAGAGTACCAGATTCCCTGGAAGCCGAGTTATAGATCGTTGCAAGTCTCCATGTGAGTGCTGGAAACAGAACCTTTGTCCTCGGCAAGAGCAGCAAGTGCCTAGTCAAAGCTCAAGCCCCCCAGACAAGTTTAAGTAAAAAAAAAAAAATCATTTCTCCAAGTGTTCATGAGAATGAGGGTGGATGCATGAATGCTTCCGTGCTGACAGAGATACCAGAGGACATAAGTCCAGTTGGTTCTTCTTTCCACCTTGTGATGGCAGGATCTCACTTGTTTTTACTGCTTCATGGTCTAGTCCAGGATGGCTGGCCCTTGAGATTCTGGCGCATTTTGCTTCTCCCATCTCACCAAAGTAGTGTTAGGATTATTGATGCACCCTGTTGCATCCCCCTGTATGCAGGTTGCAGGGAAGGAAAGAGATCCTCAGGCATAAGCAGCTACCACTTTCATCATCTGACTCATCTCCCCAGCCTTAAGATTGCATTTTAGCTCAGTTTTCTCTAGTGCAGTTGCAACCCAGATTTAAACATGTGTCCAGGGAGTGGGAGGATTTAGTGAAGTTTATTCGTGAAATATCATTCGGGATCCTTAGCTATCCTGTTTCCTACCTTTCCCTGTAGTTCTCCTCATACAAGGCACTTGCACCAGGGCTTTTACATATAGGACACATATTCTAGCCTTGTTGACAAGCAGCCCATTAACCAGGTGAAGACCCTGAGGTTCCCAGCATTGGGAAAGTCCCTGATTGCTGCCTAACAAATGGGAGGCCTGAGAGGAGGCCAGAGATCTGCAGGAACCCGTAACTCAGGCAGTTCTCACCTCTACCAGACCAAGGGCAGACTTCTGACAAAGAGAGGGCTATTCCTGGCTCTCCGTAACGTCTTATTTGTGGTGTTATCATCAGCACAGCATCTGCACCTGAGTCTATTGTAGTTTCAGCTACTGACTGAAGCTCTGCGATCACTGCCCCACAGCATCTTGGGCCAAGGCCTGGCAGTGAAACACCACTTGGTGAAAAACGTGGGAGCATATATATCCAAGTAAAAGGCCCGAGAAAGCTGAGAAAAGTTCCAGACATGGAGCCAGACACACCTTCCTAGCAACCACAAGCTCTCAGACATGAGGCTCAACCCTCCTGGAAGAGAAATGGGCTGCAGCCCAGAACCAGTGGGGTAGCCTTCTGGACAGACCTGAAGGGCCTGAACTAGCCACCAGCACCACATGCTAAGCAGAACCGCAGAAAGAGATTGCAGATGCACAGAAGGGCAAAAGTAATATTTTCCTGGCTCCATGGTGGGAAGATGCCTCAGTTTCTCTCACTGGCTTGTGAATGTTCCAGTATGACCACCTCTTCCTGTCAGGTCAGTCACCGAGGGTAGCCTGTCCCTTTAAGGCTTGGCTCATCTGGTCAGAGACTGGCTGCAAGAGTTCCATACAGCCTGAATTGGAGTGAAACAACCAGCTACCCAAGAAAATGGCTGCACCCCAGCGTTTTCTGCCCCGCAAAATGGTCAACACCCCCTAAGTCAGCTGGAAGAGCAGTCTTGATGATTTGGCACCCCATATTCCTGCCCTGACACCCCATGTTTAACCTCCCACCTTTAAATAATAATAAGAGGTGACATCTGGCACGGTACACACACTGGCTTTAAGGCAGATACTTAGACAGCTCAAGGGGCCCTGCATTGCTTGGCTACATCATGTATTACGTGACTGCATTAGGACTCTGGACACATGAGCATGTTTTCCTCTTATGCAACTCCCTCCCACCTGGTCCCTCTTTCCATTATTGCTCCCGGTCAGCACAACACCAACCCATCCAAATAGCTCAGCAGGGAGCCAGAGAACCCTACACTGGCTAGTTTTAAGTCAACCTGACACAGGCTACAGTCACCTGAGAGTAGGGAACTTCAACTGAGAAAATGACTCCATAAGGTCCAGCTGCAGGCAAGCTGGTAGGGCACTTTCTTAATCGGTGATTGATGTGGGAGGGCCCAGCACAGTGTGAGTGGTGCCATCCCTGGGCTGGTCCACTTGGGTACATTAAGAAAAACAAGCTGAGCAAGCCAGCAAGCAGTGCTTCTCCATGTCCTCTGTATCAGCTCCTGCCTCCAGGTTCCTGCCTGTTTTGAGTTCCTGTCCTGATTTCATTCACTGACGAACAGTGATGTGGAAGTGTAAGACAAACAAATCTTCTCCTCCCCATGTTGATTTTGGTCATGGCAAGTCATTACAGCAATAGAAAACCTAGCCACAACAGCCATTGGTACCAAGAGTGGGGTACAGCCAGGACAGACCTGACCATATTGTTTTGGAGAAGATGGTCGGAGGACTTGGGACCCTTGGTCATTGAGTCTTCTAAGTTTGGTGAGGTGTTTGGTGAGAGCTTGGAAGAAAAGAATGTTAAGACAAATGCAGAGGATGGAAGCCTGGACTGTGAGGTTCCAGAGGGAAGTAAGAGGGTCACATAAAGAGTCTATTGGGGCCATCTCATATTTTGACTTCAGAATCTGTGGTTCTGGTTAGCTGGTGAAGAATCGGCTGTGATTAGCAAGAGACAAGAGGCAGCGAAGCAAAACCTTTGCTGCACTAGGATAGTCAATGCTGGTCAGATGGAAGTGAGAAGTTACTTTTGATCAAGAAGAGACCAGTTTCAGCAAGGTGAAATTTTGCAAGGAGTGTTTCCTGAGACTTAGCACACAGAAGCTGTGTTTCAGAAGTGGCCAAGGCTCGACCTTGGGCTGGCAGCTGAACTTGGTAGAATAAGAGTCACCCAGGTGGTACCAGATTTGAAGGCGTGAAGGGGTGTGTCATGGAGAACAGGTGAGGCTTGGCACTGTGTGGCAGGACCGGGATACCTAAAGAGAGCCCTGGAGAGACTACTATTGGTGAAAGTGAAGCCCAGTTGCAGCAAGAGGCCCTAGCATTTTTGGAGATACCAGTACCACGAGATGAGCACCAGAGCACCATATGGAGTGTGGCTAGCCAGAGCCTAGAAGACAAAAGCCAGAGAACTGACCGAAGCCTTTTGGAGGAGCCCATAAGACCACTGCCTGGCTCCCAAACATGGAGGGCTGGGTGGTTTGAACAGTTGGAGTTGGTTTTTACTATGTTCAGATTGGGACTGTGCCATGGCTCTTCCCTCTTGAAGTAAGGAAGCTGTGCTGTCTAGTCTTGTGTCACCTTGACACACACACTGGAGTTATTTGAAAGGAAGGAACCTCAATTGAGAAAAGGCTGTAGGCGAAGCTGCCCACTTAGGGGTATGCCTGACCACGCCCTCCTGACACCAGATAAAGTGGGAAATTACCAATACTGAGCCAAGTAGAAATATAAGGGTATTTAATAGGGAAAAGCCTTAGTTACAGAGCGACCTAGCCAGCTGGCCTGGCAGCAGGCTGTACAGCAAGCTGAAAAGTGAAACTGAAAGCGAAACCCAGCCACCTGAAACTCTCACTCTACATCACCCTGCCCACCCCCTAAGTGGGCAGCTTCCCCTACAAAGGGCCTGCATAGGACCAGGCAGTAAAGCATTTTCACAGTAATTTATGCGAGGGGGGGTGCAGCCAATTGTGGGCAGTAGGACTCGGGATTAAGAGATAGATGGCTCTCTCTGAGTTCTAGGCCACCCAGATGTATTCGAGAGTGAGTCAGTCTAAACAAGAATTATAGCTCGCACCTTTAATCCCAACATTAGGGAAGTACATAAGACAGAAGCAAGGTCTCAGAAAGGCATTCATTCTCCAGCCAGGCTGAGGAAAGGTTGCAGTCTGAGGCTTGGTGACAGCTCATGGAGACAGGACCAGTCCATTCAGCCTGAGGTAAAGATAAAAGGCTAGTGGCCTTTTCTTGGCTTTTCTGATATTCAGCTTGAACCCCAGTATCGGTCTCTGGGACATTTATTTATTTGTGTTACAGACGTCCCTGGGCTGGTGCTCCTGGATGGTATAAGAAAGCAGGCTGAGTGAGCCAGGGGAAACAGCCAGTAAGCAGCGCCCCCCTGTATTTGGAAGTTTCTGTCCTGCCCTGACCATTTCCAAATCACTGGCAGCCACTTCTCAAATAACTGACACGGAGAAGGACACTTAATATAAATTACAAATGCTTAGATGAGAGCTCAGGCTTGTTACTACCTAATACTTCCATTTTTAAATTAGCCCATATATTTCTTATCTATGCTGTGCCGTGGGGCTCATGGCTTGTTATCCCATTTTCTACATGTCCTGCTTCCTTGCAGGCTGGCTGGCATCTGCCTTGACTCTGCCCTTCTCCTGCCCATCATTCTCCTGGTTTGATTTTCCTGTCTATGATTCCTGCCTGGTTACCAGGCACTTAGCTTTTTCTTAAACCAATCCGAGTGACAAATCTTCACAGTGTACAACAGGATTATGCCAAAACACCCCTCCATGGTCTCTGCATCAGCTCCTGCCTCCAGGACCTTGCCCTGTTTGAGTTCCTGCCCTGACTTCCTCCAATGATGAACAGTGCTGTGGAAGTATAAGCCAAATAAACCCTTTCCTCCCCAAGTTTCTTTGGTCATGGTGTTTCATCACAGCACAGCCATGGAAACCCTACCAAATACAAGCATTTAACTTTTTCTGATTTTACAGGAGAGCAAGACAGTAAGCGTCATCCCTTTGTGGCCTCTGCATCAGCTCCCACTTCCAGGTTTCTGCCTTGCTTGAGTTCCTGTTCCGACTTCCTTAAATGATAAACAGTGGAAGCTTAAGCCAAATGAATCTTTTCCTCCACAAGTTTCTCTTTTCCATGCTGTTTCATCCCAGCATTTGTAACCTAACCGTAAGGAAGGCAAGCCCCATGTGCCCTCCCCAATCCAAGGTTGGCTACTGAAGGGCCCTGTCTCACACAGGCCCAGTGAAGACACCCAACCTCTGCTGTGAGATCTTGTTTGCGATTGCTGTGTCTCAAGCTGAAGACAGCACTTCCCACCATCATCTGGCGGTGACATTTCTCTGGCCCCTGTTGCTCAATGTTCCCCGGCCTCCCAAACGCTTTAGGTGGGGTGGTATAAATGTCCTGCTTAAGGCTGAGCGTTCAACCATTATTTATTCTGGGCATCTTGAGGAGCTGTGAATCTCTACATTCAGTGACATTCACTGCAAAGAGAAGCTTCTCTAGTTGAGGTTGATGAGAGTAGCATTTACCTATGGGTACAAACAAAAATACAAAGTGAAATTTGGTGCAGTCCTTGTCCTTATATTTTAAAGCATGGGGATTTTAAAGAGAGGGATTGTGGGACCTCAGCCCACTGTGTCTCTGTTCCTTCCTGCTTTGAATTGTGAGTAGTTAGTTCTGGCAGGATTCCTCACCCTCACAAGAGGCCCCCAAACAAGGGAGTAGAATAAAATGATTGCACTGAGACACTGCCTCAGGCATTTCCTTCCAGGAACAACAAGTAGTAAGACAGTAAGGCCAGGACAAAATACCATTCTCAATCTTAAGGATATTTCTATGCATGTGTGCACATATGCCTGCATGGGGAATTTGTGTGTGTGCAGTGTGTGTGGGGGGGTGTGAATAAATATTATCCAAGAGAAAGTGGTTATCAACTTGATAGTGGTTGGGCTCAGAGGGGTTCAAGGGAGAGTTATTCAGAGCAGCTAGAGGGAGGAGAGAAATGAGGTAATTTTATATCAATTTACAACATTTTTATAAATTATGAAAAAAGAAAAACCACCAAAGAATTTGTGTAGGAAATAGGATATTGCTCTGTAATTAAGTGACAAAGTTTGGTTGAGAGAAAGCTATTGAATCTAAGCCACCTCAGAGACATTCTGATGGTTCGACTTTATTTCTTATCTTCCTAGTGCAAGGTCTTAAAGGGAAGTACATTGTCACACTCCTCCCACTATGTTGTTTCAATCTAAGAGAACATGAGTTGGTAAAACTTGGTTGCTCATGCTGAGGCATCTCAACAGCCCCAGAAACAGACTTCTTGATTGTAGGCTTATGAAGTCTGTGGAAGAAACAGTCAATGGAGCAAGTATGAATCTAGACATGGGGCACGCCTAATGTCTAGAGAGACTTTAGGCTGAAATACACCTGTAGAGGATCTTCTTCAAGCTCTTATCCTATTCTTTGAGATAAGAGGGGAAGAACCCTCTTTGTCCTGTCCCCAAACTGAACACACACACACACACACACACACACACACACACACACACACACCCCATCACAAAGCAATGGGCTGTCCTTCAGAGGGGTACAAGTGTACCACATAATGGGCCTAGGCGCAAAGGACCCTTTCTGTCTGGGTTGTGTCTTTTCAGTGTAAGTCTTTATCTTCTTGCATAGATTGATACTAAAGACATGATGTCTCCACTGGGTCAAGTCCTCTGGAAGGTGAGTTTCAGTTGAGCTTACCACCCTACCTCACACACAGACACTTATCTGATCATTACAAGCATCCTGGTTCCTTTCAAGTTTGAATTACCATAGTCATGTATAGCTGAACAAATAGGGTCTGTCCTGGGTATAAAATATGGTTAAATCAGACCTCAAAATCGTGTGTGCCTTGGAACATGAAAATGTCATATTTTGAGAAAAGATGGAAGAGAGTGGTACTTCTAAGGAGAATTGGTGGCAGGCCTGGCGGCTCACAGAAATTCAAAGTACATGTGACCTCTTAATCAGGTAACAATGTGTAGAATACAGTTAGATCCACACGTCCTACTTGGGCACAGCACTACTCAGGGGACAAGCTGATCCAGTTATAGTGAAACACCTGAGCAATCAGGGACCTAAGAAACAGCTTCCTGCCCCCCCCCCAATCCTGAGGAGTGACGAAGAAATGTCAATTGTTTTTCAGAACTGATGCAGGGTGGTCCAAATGTGCCTGCCAGGACACAGGAGACTATTCTGAAAATCTGCACAATCTTATACACTTTTTAAAACTCCCCTACACTGAGACAAGTCTCCTTCCCCAGACTGGCTGTGGGCCACCCGTGACATCATATGACAAACAAAGAGAATTATGACATCAGCAGATGATTGCCTCACTACTGGTGCCAGAACTCAGTGGCCACAGTTGGTTGGCTATCTCTAGCGCAAGGAAAGGCTGATTGGAGTATCTGCGGGGAAGTTTACTGGTTTACAGTCGAAAATACTTCTGATGTCCAGTCAGAATGTGGGGATGGACTCTGCCACCAAGATGGTCCTACCTGTAGGGCAAAGGCCAGGAAGAGAGAACCAATCTAATTCTTCTGAGTCACAGGTGTATAACAGAGAGAATTTGTTGAGGCAAGGTGACCGAGTTGGGATACAAGACGAAGCTGTCCAAGGGGGCCAACTTACAGCGAATGAGGAAGGTAACACCAACCTCTTTCAACAGCCCTTCCCCAGGAAGCTCTGGACCATCGTGCAGAACGAGACCTTCCAGTGTTTGAACTGGAGTGAAGACAGAGACAGCATCACGATTAAGGTAGACATGTTTCAGAGAGAGGTCCTTCACCGCAGAGCTACAGGGAAGATTTTTGAAACGAAAATCCTTCAGAGTTTCATTCGCCAGCTCTACCGGTATGGGTTCAGAAAGATTCGCCCAAAGGATTCCTCACTCCTGTCGAGAGTGAGCAGAAAAATGATGGTAAAGTACAAAGTTGTTCTTTGTCTCCTACTTGTGCTGATGAGATCATTTTCCTATCTGCACATCCCAGGAGTAAAGTGCTTTAAGCTCCTCATTTAGCAGACTATGTTGTTTACTGACTGGTGAAAGTAAGAGACTTTGACATTAAACTCCGGGCTGCCCCATAGATGTTGGCAGGGAGGCAGACAGTCCCCGAGAAGCTAGTTAGTGTCACATACATATTCACCACCTTCACCTATGTGATGGGGGAAGTATTTCTGTGTATGCTTATCTTATTGATTGTTAATTAAAATACTGT